CTTATTGTGAATATTTCTTTCAAATATTCCAATGGTTTTGTTGTAGTAAAATCCAGTTGCAGTGAGACCTAGTAAATCCCAGCTCTGTTTTAGCAACCGATGCTGTATTGAAGCTGGCAGACTTTGATGGTCTCTCAAGAAGAAGAATAATATAGCTAAATTTGATTAGTTCTGTAGTCAGTCAGGCCTGTGCTTAAATTCCCATTCCTCCACTTACTAGCTATGTAACCAAGGGCAAGTTACTTATCCCCTCTCAACATGTATGTATCATTGGTCAAAGAATTAAGATTATTGTGTAGCTTTCTTTGCTTGAAATATCAAGTTGAAATACTTGGCATAGGGTAGGTGTTCATTAGATATCAATTTTTAATCATCTTTCTTAGGGTGAATTATTAAGTGACAAAACAGATTTTGAACTGAACAGTGGAAGAAGGAAACAGATACACAGACATTCTTAAACTAAGCCAATTGCTCTGTTCAATTATTAGATAGTTTTTGAATTTATTCCAGTTATTAAATATTTAGTTAATTCTTACTATATGCCAAGGCTACTGAGTATGCTAAGTTATGGGGACAAAGGGTAAGTAGGGCAATGTCCTTGCCTTCATGGAGATGTTTCTAAAGTTTTCTTTGCCTTTGGCTCTTCCCTGCCTTCCTCTCTCCCTTTTTCTTTCCCTCCTTCTCACTCTCCTCTTCTTTCCATCTTTCCTCCCTTCTTTCTTTTTCTACCAGTGGGTTTTCCATGCAGGATTATGTTTTAGAAAGCATAATTAAAATGATGTTTGAAATCATATGGAAAGTAGTGAACATAGAGATGTAGAAAATGATGGCCAAATAATGGAGGGGGCAGTTTTCCTTTTTCTACTCTTTTTTCTCTTGTATGAGAGAAACCCATAGTTAGAGTTATAGAGAGTGACTCTTACATAGAAAGGATCTGAGGAGAGAATTTGTTGTATAGGAGCATTAATTGCAACCATATGGACCAACAGCCTGTCATAAAAATAATCCTTTTATTTGCATAGCCCTTTATAGCAATGGGATGAGCCATCCTGGAAGCTGACCTGTGTTACTCTCTGCAGGGATGCAGTTCAGTGACCATTTATAAGTCTGTACCCTATAGCTGCTCTAAACAACTGGTAACTGAGGTGATGAAGGGGCAGAGGCTTTGCATAAATAGAAAAGCAAATGTATATTTGTCGGCATTGCTCTCTTCTCCTTTGTTTTTCCTTCTTTCCAAAAATAAAGTGCATTGTTCCCAGGGAGTGGAATTCGAAGTGGCAGCTGTGTGCCTGGCTGACTCCTTCCCAAAGAGCAGAGCCCAAGGAAGTAACCAGGGTTAACTTCAGTTTGTTCTGTCCTCTATGGACACAGAGATTTAAGCTGCCAAAATAGCTGCATTCAGAGGGGTGTGTCAGACTGAGCCCCACATGCTCATTGCCTGCACATTTACAAGTGATGCATAAGCTTTATAGGTACCTATGTCGCCAGTTCTACACAAGTAGTCTTTGGAAAGCCTGCTCTAAAATAGTGCCATTTTAAAAGAATGGCCTGCATTCCTTCTGTTCTTCTCTGCTCTCTGAAAATCACCTCACTTGCTCTGGGTCAACAGCAGTGCGGAAATGAGATTTGATTTGATTAGACTATTGTTTGTGTACCCACTAACCTGAAGGACAGCCAAAATCAGGAAGGTGCACATGGATTTTGTACCATACTACAGGGCGGATTTTTTAAAAAAATTAAGATTTATTAAGTGACAGCTCAAGGTTACTGATCTAAGACTGAGAAGAGGAAATATTTTACTCAGGAAAATTCTGTGAGGAAAGATTGGGTGCATAATCAAGGTTTGTAAAATTGAGTTAAATCTATTTGATTCAATTCAACCAGCATCAATGGAATCACTTGGTATAGTTAGTACACCAAGATATCTGTGTGAAATAATCTATCATCTCTTCAGATGTCTACTTTAGAGTCTTATGTTAGGAGGGACACAATGGAGGGACAGCATGTGTGTGCTCCCAAGAGCATACATTTTAGGTGGTGTTGGGGGAGAAAAGTTCCCAACATTAGAGCTTGAGATGAACTCATTAAACGTGTTAGGGTTATAGGTAGTGTCAGAACACCACCTATACATCTAATCCACCCATCTACCCATCCATCCATTTATCCCATTTAAAAAATTGATTCCATGCTAGGTGTTGAGGTAAATGACAAGATATGCCTCACATAAAGGATACTAACTGGGTTGAATGATAATCCTCTCATTCCTCAGAGAATGCCTGGAACCCATGAATATGTCCTTATTTGGAAGCAAGGTTTTTGTATGTGTAATTTACGGACTTCAAAATTATGAATTGTCTAGGTGTCTCCTAAATCCAATGCCAAGTCCTTCTAAGAGACACCCAGAGAGAAGAGAAAACAAAACAAAACAAAACAAAACAAAACTAAACAAAACAAAACAAAACCATGTGAAGACAAAGGCAGAGTTCAGAACCCAGGAAGCCAGAAGAGGGAAGAAAGAATTCTCTTCCAAAGCCTTTGGGAGGCCCTCCCAATCCCTTGATTTTAGACTAGTACCTCCAGAACTGTGGGAGACTTGGCATTTCTGTTGGCTTAAGTTACCATATTTGTGGTCATTTGTTGCATTAGTTCTAGGAAAGTAATATCAGGCATGATCTAATAACTTTATTCTGTAAATTCATAGTTGGAAGCTGGCTCTTTCTGAGCTTGTGGAGGCCTTTAGAATTCATTCATTTGCTCAACTGTAACCTCAGGGCCACTTGTGCCAGGCACTGTTCTTGGTGCTGAGTAAACAAAGACAAGTTAAGATACACTTAACCTTTTTTTTTTTTTTTGTCTTGTGTTTGTCTTTTTGTTATTTATTTATTTATTTATTTATTTATTTATTTGCATTCAATCACTGTGTATCATTATAGCATATTGAATACATTTTCCCATCATGAATATACTGCATATTGGTCCAGTCAAACATTACCACATCCATTATAATCACTAGATTTCTTTCCATTTTGGGTTCCTTAAATGTTTTGCTTCCACCTTCTTCCTTCCCTCTCATCTTTCCTGACCCTCCTACCCCACTGTCTCCAGTATCATTATTGCTCTCCAAACACAGGGGCAACTCTTAGAGATGTAGGAGTAGACGAAGTCTTCTTGACAAGACCCCAAAGCACAGGCAACAATCCCCAAACAGATTAGCTTTTTAAAGAGCTCATGGATAGAAGTAAAGCATTAACTACCCATCATAGGTTGAGAAAGACTGTAAGAAAGGCCCTCAGAGGTGTGTGCTCTGGGAGCACAAAGGGGGCCTGGGTCCCTCTGTGCTTTGGCAGGAGATGAGGGTTTTATTAAAACAGAGCCACATGCCCTCTGATATGAATGTGCTCAAAACTGAAGAAATCTGCTTTCACAGAAAGCACTCCTATGGGGTGAGCTATGATTTCTCTACCCTAATCTTAGGCTCACTTGAAAATAAAAAACATAGAGAAAGACTGTGGTTCATAATTTATGGGGGCCCATGGGGAAGAAAACAAAAGGGTCCTTTCTACAGTAGACTGGGGCATGTGGAATTTATGTGTAGAGTTCCCTTCATCATTGCCAGCCCTGGTTTTGAATCTTCATGAGGCTGGAGATGGTAGGTGTTGGTGGATGGATGGGGATGTTAGGGTGAAGAGGAGAGAGAGGTGCTCCATTGGAGCGAAGACTTCCCCAGCAATAGCTGGGCCTGAGTTAAAGGTATGGTACGATCTCCCAAAGATGCTGTTTGACTTAGAGACTTGTCTAAATGTAGTCATTCACTTATTCCTTTATGGAACACTGATTTATACTTGTGAAATAAACAAGATGGTAGTGTGCTAGGGTTCAAGCTGGGATGGCTCTGGGAGGCTGGGAAAGTCTATCAACAGCTGATTGATGTGGGGACATGACACAGACAGACCAGGCCTGTTGGGCTCTAAATGGGGGTTATAAACAGGCAGACTAATGTTGTAGACAGTCAGAAAAGGGAGGTCAATGAGGGCCAGCAGGGCCAGAAAAGGAGAATGAACTGCTCAGGGTGGGTGTTGAAAGATGGGTAGAATTTGGATTATAGCAGGTGGAGGCTGGATAGGTCTTCCGCTCTCTCTCTTCTTTTTTTTTTAAGCCTGGGGTGGGAAATGGACAGAATTTCCAAATTCCTACCATCAAAAAGGATTGCTATGTAGGGAAGAAGATGAAACTTATGTTAGCTGGGCATCAAATTCTGGCAAAATAAAACAAAACAATACTGAGAGACAAGAAAAAAAGAGTAAAAATAGTAATTTATGACCAGACAGTGGAGGCCCTGACTACCTGCCAAGGTGTTTGTACATGATTTAAAAGGCAGTAGGAAGCATTGCTAGTTTTTTTTTTTTTTTCCTTATCAAGAATAAAATTTACTTGTATTCTGAAAGTAATAATGCTCATTACAGGATGTAGGATTATGAAGAAGAAAAATGAATCAGTTATCATATTACCTTAAAGAAATGGTTATTGTCAGTATTGTTCCTGCATGTAATTTTAGAAATAGTTGCAGAAATCACATAGATACTATTTTATATTCTACTTTTTAATCTTACCATGATAACACAAGCATGTCCTGGTGTTATTTAAGTCCTTCAGGAACACCACATTTTAATACCAACATCTAGGAGATATACATTAATTTACTTAATCTTTCCCCTCTGGTTGCATATTTGATGGACTAGCACTTTTTCATGATTATAAAGCATGCTGGGAGACGCTTCTTCACGTAATAGTCTTCTTCCGTGTTTATGATGGTTTCCTTTGGCTAGATCCCTAGATAGGGAATCACTGAATCAAAGGGCATGAACATCTTTAAGGTCCTTTGAACCTTCTGCCAAATCACTTCCTTGGGGGGGGGTTTGAGCTTTGGAAGTACATGATGAAAGATGAGTCTCATAGCTGAGGACAGGCAGGGCCAGGCCAGAGAGAAAGAGCATTCCAAACATTCTAGCAAGAAGAGACATTCCGGAGTCACCGAAGCTGCAGCCCTGGTGATGTGCTGTCCTGATACGAAAACATTGCTGGTGTCCCTGCCGTTTATAGAAAGCCAGCTTTGAATTCTTCCCTACAAGGACAGTGGTGCTTCAGACACACTGGCCTGTTCTTGTGGCTCTAGGGTGTACCAAGTTCATGTCTACCACAGAGCCTTTGCATTTGCTATGTTCTACTGGGAATATTCTGTCCTCAGAACTTGTCTTGTCCGGTGCCTTCATATCATCCTCTGCCTCCAGCTACTTCTATCAAGCTGATCTTATTCATCGCTTATTCCTCATCCATAGTTGCTGTCCAATAGATATTTGTAGAATGATTGAAGTCATTCACTTACTCATTTAATCTAGAAATATACTTAGATTATAGAGGGCCACTTTCAAACATTCCCATGTTTTTTTTTTCTTTTTGTTAAGAATTACTTATTTTATTTGTTTATTATTCTTCTTCAATTTGACCAGAGACAGAGAAAGAGAGAGAGAGGGAGAGTGAGAAAGCAAGCGGCCAGGTCCAGGACTCAAACCTTGGTCAGCCAGGTGGGAATCCAGTGCTCCAACGAGACACTACCTGGTGCAACTCCCCTCCTCCCCCTTCATGTTTCTTAATAAAGAGCAAAATATTTAACAGCTTGTAGAAGGGTTTCCAGAACTGGTCTGTACTCACCCTTTCCTGTCTTGTCTTGATGTATAGCCTATCTTAGTCTCTGCATATCAGTCATACTCACATTCTTTTTGTACTTGGATGCTCCATGCTTCTTACTGACACAGGGACTTTGTACATGGTATTCCTCCTGCCTGGAACACACTTCTTGTCTTTATCTCATTAACTCTTACTCATATGTCTCAGAGGAATGACACTTTACTAGAATCCTTACATGACCCCTCATATTAGGTTAGGTTTCTTAACTACATATTCTTTGTGAAAGCTAGTTTCCAAAGGGGATCTCCAATGAACCATACCTTCTGACATTCATACACTTCTGTGATTCTCCCTCTTTGGATCTGCACTGGCATTCTGAATTTTTTTCTTGACCTAAATAATATGATGTAAATCATATTGTGTAGGCCCAACTTCTGTGGTGCAGATGGTGGCATATTAAACTGCAGTACTGGAAGCCACATGGCTGACCACAGGTTCAGATGCCTGGTGCAGTCAACCTGAAACATGGTGGGTGCATGCATGCATTTCCAAGAACCTGGTGAGCTGGAAGTATGGAGGAAGGGATTTCAATGTGATGGGACTTTGTTGAAAATGCTTCTCTCCATATCCTCCTCCCTTTCTTTCTCTCTGGTGCATGTGCATATACTCTTTATCATGAATAAAATAAACCTAAAAAAAGGAACATTGTGCATTTTCTGAGAGTTGTAAGAAACATTGCATCTTCTACCTGTGACTCTCAAAATAATTGCTCTTGGGACATTGTCCCATATCAGAATATAGCATTATGCTGTGAGAGGCCCCAGCTACTTGGAGAGACAATGGGTAGGTACTCTGGTCAAAACCCTCGGCTTAAGGCCCAGCCAACAGCTGACATTGACTGATAGTCATGTTGAGCTTTCATGTTGACTCTGCCTCCAGCTGCCATCCGACTGTAATCACGTGATAGAGTCCACATCAGAACTGTCCAGTTGAGCCCAGTCAGTCCACAGAACCATCAGAGACAGAACCACATGTCTGTGTTAAACTACAAAGTTTGGAGGTTGTTCACTACATAGCGGTGGGTACTTGAAATACACTTACAGCATTATCTTCCTTAGAGTAAGTTATTCCTCTCCTTCATCATACTCGCTGCAGTCATGACTGTGTTTTTCTGCTTGATCATTTAATTAAGGATTCTCTGCTTGCTAGTCTATAAGCTTTACGTAGGCAAAGACGTGTCTTTTGTTTTGTTTTTGTTTGTTTGGCTCATCCTTAACAGGCGTGACTTCATTGGCACCAAAAAATGTTCAGGGGATCTGACATGGTGTGAGTTTCAGAGGAGACAAAGCTTTGGCTCCTAACAAAGAACCTGGAAAATCAGGTGTTCCCTGTTGGCTCTTTAACAGACAGGACAGGGCACGTGCTCTGAGCTCAGCCAACTGGGTGCTTCTGCCTGCATCTTGGATGATTAGTCTACGATGCAGAGAAACAGAGAAGTCTTAGGATTCATTCCAGTGGCTTTGGCGGCAGCATGTAAACTCCAAGGGCAGAAGCATTGATGCCTTAACCAACTCATTAGAGGAGTAAGCTGGCTGTGCTTTGGACATTCAACTTTTTTGTTGTGTATAACCAATACTAGTTACATAGTATCCAGCATGGCAGCTAAAGCATGAAAGGTAATACATGTTTTAACAAATGTTTAAAACAAAAATAAAAATAGCGCCTTTGGGTGATGTGGTGGTTAAGGCACTAGACTCCCACATGGTCAACAGTGTTTTGAATTCTGGGCTTGGCTGCTTGCTTTTTCACTTTCCCTCTTTTTCCTTCTGTCTCTCTCTGGTGAGAGCATGTGCCCTATAACAAATTAAAATAATAATAATAATAAATTAAATTATTATTTAATAATAAATTAAATTAATAAATCTTAAAACAAAAACAAATCTCAGCTATGGATTTGACTGCTGTTAATTTATCTTGGAATTCTGAAATTCTCTCTCTCTTTTTTTTTAATAGAGAGAGATTTTTTTACTATAGGGAGTATGGACTTGCCAGAGAGAGAGAGAGAGAGACAGAGACAGAGAGAAACAGAAAGCAAGAAATCACCCCCTTGAGGGAATATCCACATCACAGTCCCTTCTCCTTCATTCTCCTCTTGGGATTTTGGGCACAGAAGCACATGTATCTGGTATGGCTGCCGGGTCTGGGACTCGAACTGCAGTCAACTACATGGGAGTACAGTGATGTAACCATTACGCCATCTGCTGGTTCGAAATTCTGAAATTCTTATATTCTTTTCTTTTTAGAAAGTCATCACTTGAGAGACTGTTAATGAGAAAGGGAGGGCAGGTATTATTCATGCTGTAATAATTTAGATTAATTTCACTATCTAGTTGATGCACATTGTATAGTAACTGGCTATTCTCAGAATGATTGTGTGTGCTGTATTTTTAAGTGGATGTATGTGTATGTCTTTGGAGTTCTACATTATTTTTGGAAGAGCAAAGTTTTGTTGTGAAAATACAATGACATTACTATGTGTCATCAAATTTTAATTTTAGTTCCTTGCTTGAGCTTGTATTTGTAAGTGCTTCCAACCTTAATGTTTCCCTCCCAAAATTAGAAAATTTCTCAGGGTGAAATTTTAAAGTATATTTGTAAGTAAAAGGAGAAAGACAGGGGCCGGTAGGTGGTGTGGTGTTAAGGGTGCTTGACTCCCACATGGCCGACCATGGTTCAAATTCTGGAACTAGTGGCTCATTTTCTCATTTTCTCTTTCTCTCTTTCTGCCCTTCTCTGGTCAAATTAAAATAAATTTAAAAAATTAAATAAAAGAATTCTTTTTTTAAAAAAGAGAAAGACAATAATTGACTTAGCCAATAAATTTCATAGCAAAGAAAATGAAGATTACTAGAAAAAAAGTGCAAAAGTAATTGCAGTTTTGCAATGTTGAAATTTGCAGTTTGATATTGGATACATTCTTAAATAAGTGTGGTTGTGTCACACACCATTTTAATGCATATTTCTTGCTCTTTTTTGGGTTATTTATATGTTTTCTTATTTATTAAAGCTTTTTCTTACATTCAATCACTGTGTGTCATTACAGTATACCAAATGAATTTTCCCATCATGAAACGCTGCATATTGGTTCAGTCAAGGATATGATCATATGCATTATCATCAATTTTAGACTATGGAAATGAAGTTAGACAAAAAGCAATTCTGAGCAATTTTCTTATTTGAGTCTAAAATGGATCCTAAAATAGCAGAGACAACTTGGAACATCAACAACGCCTTTGGCCCAGGAACTGCTAATGAATGTACAGTGCAGTGGTGGTTTAAGTAGTTTTGCGAGGACCAGCAGATGGTATAATGGTTACGTCATTGGACTTCCATGTTGTCTATCACAGTTCAAGTCCTGGACCAGGTTGCTTAAAACACTAGGCACATTTGAGTGTATGCCCAAAATCCTGAGTGGAGAATAGAGCAGAAAGGATTGTGGTGTGGCCATCCCCCCAAGGGGGGTGATTTCTCGCTTTCTGTCTCTCTGGTGAGTGCAGATGTCCTACAGCAAAAATTTCTCTATTAAAAAAAAAAGTTTTACAAAGGAGATGGGCTCCTTAAAGATGAAGAGTGTTGTGGTCAGCCATCGGAAGTTGACAATGACCAATAGAGAGCATTCATTGGGGCTGATTCTCTCCAACTACATTAGAAGTTGCTGAATAGCTGAATGCTGACCATTCTACATTTGTTCTGCAGTTAAAGCAAATTGAAAAGGTGAAAAAGCTCAATAAGTGGATGCCTCATGAGCGGACTGAAAAATTTTTTAAAAATGTCGTTTTCGGGGACCAGGAGATAGTGTAATGGCTATGTTACTGAACTCCCATGTAGTGTAGATAGTTTAATGGCTTTGTCACTGAACTCCTATGTAGTCGACCGTGGTTCAAATCCCAGACCTGGTGGCTTAAACTCACGCCAGGGGCCCAACCTCCCAGGGGGAGAATGGGTAAGAAGGGATTGTGGCATGGCCATCCCCTCTGGGGGATGATTTCTCACTTTCCGTCTCTGTGTCTTTCTGGTGAATACATGTGCTTATAGCAAAAACCTCTCGGGAACCAGCAGTTAGCATAATGGCTATGTTGCTGGACTCCCATGTAGTCAACCGCGGTTCACGTCCTGGATCCGGTGACTTAAAACTCACGCTGGGCGTGTGTGCGTGCGTGCCCAAGATCCCAAGAGGAGAATGGAGGAGAAGGGATTGCGGCGTGACCATCCCCCCTGGGGGGTGATTTTTCGCTTTCTGTCTCTATGTCTCTGTCTGTCTGGCGAGCGCACATGCCCTATAGCGAAAACCTCTCCAAAACAAAAACAAAAACAAACTCTCCCCCCCCCCCAAAAATGTCATTTTGAAGTGTCATCTTTGTGGTATTATCTGTTGAAGATATTTTATAGTTTTATCAACTGTACTAGGGAGAAATGTTCATCTCTGTCTGTCTGGTGAGCACACGCTCCCTATAGCAAAAACCTCTCAAAAAAAAAAAAAAAAGAAAGAAAGAAAGAAAGAAAGAAAGAAAGAAAATGTAATAGAAAAATAAAAAGAAGTGTCATCTTCTCGTAATCTTTTTTAAAAATTAATTTCTTTCTTTTTTCTTTTCCTTTTTTTAACATTTCACCACTGTACATCTTCACAGCATACAAATGAATTTTCCCAGCATGAACATACCGCATATCAGTCCAGTCAAAGATATTACCAAATCAATTATTATTAGCAAGAAATTTTCCATTTTTGTGTCCATTAAATGCTCTGTTCCCCCACTCCCTCCCCTTGATTCTCTTATTCTACACAACAATGAACCATTTCTTGATTAGATTATAATGTGTAACAAAGAATAGATTTTGTACCATTATAAGCAATGTCCAGCTCAGTGGTCAGACTGAGAAGAAACTCCAAAGGACATCTCAAAGTCAAACTTGCACCAAAAAAAGGTGATGGTACTGTTTATGGTCTGCTGCTGGTCTGATCCACTACAGCGTTCTGAATTCCAGAGAAACCATTACAGCAAAGTACGCTCAGCATATCGATGAGATTCACTGAAAACTGCAATGCCTGCAGCCAGTATTGTTCAACAGAAAGGGCCCAGTTTTTCTCCAGGACAATGCCCAGCTGCACATCGCACAATCAATGCTTCAAAAATTGAACGAATTGGGCTACCAAGTTTTGCCTCACCTGCCGTATTCACCTGACCTCTTGTCAACTGACTATTACTTCTTCAAGTGTCTCGACAACTTTTTGCAGGGAAAATGCTTCCACAACTAGTCAGATGCAGAAGATGCTTTCTAAGAGGTCGTTGAATCCTGAATCATGGATTTTTTATAGAGATTTTTGCTATAGGGCCTGTGCTCACCAGGGAGACAGAGAGAAAGAAAGTGAGAAATCACTCCTTGGGGAGATGGCCATGCTGCAATTCCTTCTCCTCCATTCTCTTCTCGGGATTTTGGGCATGCATGCACATGTGCCTGGCGTGAGTTTTAAGTTGCTGTGTCTGGTACGTGAAGCATGGTTGACTATGTGGGAGTCCAGGGAAGTAACCATTATGCTATCTTCTGGTCCTCTGAATCCTGGGTATTTATGCTGCAGAACTAAGTTTATTTCTCATTGGCAAAAATGTGCTGATTGTAACGATTCTTATTTTGATTCATGAAGATGTTTGAGTCTAATTGTAACGACTTAAACTTCACAGTCTGAAACAACAATTGCCTTTGCACAACCTAGTTATTATTATTATTATTATTTTTAATTTTTTAGTGGGCACGTACACTTGCCAGAGGGACAGAGAGAGAGAGAAAGGGAATGCCATAAAGCATCCCTAATGGGGCATGGTCACACCACAATCACTTCCCCTCCTCCATCTCTCTCTCTCTCCTTTCAAGATTTTGGGCATGCATGCACATGCACCCAGTTGTTTGTCAAGCCACCAGGTCTGGGATTTGAATTTCATGGTTGGCCATGTGGCTTCCAGCTGTCTTATCCAGCCAGGCCATTGGCTGGCCCAATAAGTATTTTAAATGAATGAATATGTGTCAGAGACCCAGGTGGACAACCGGGATTCCAGAATAAAGAAATCTCTAATTCAGAGGAGTTTATATTTTACTAAATAACAGATAAGCAAATGTAGTAATTACAGATATGTGTGGCAAGAGTGATAGGCATAAACTTATAGGAACAAACTATATCTAGGAGAAAGATGCTGAAAGGATCCCCTTGTTTAATGTCAGTGAATATAGCCAGATGGGCAGCAAATGTTTGTTGACTGAGTGGATGAATAAATAAACACAATGTTAAAGTAGTATATATGAAAAGCATTGTCAATTGTAGAGTGCTACATGAAATAGAAGTATTATTCTTAGACTAATGCTTGATGTCTGTACTAGGACTATTTGTGTTACGAATATCAGAAGCCCAAGCAAACTAGCTTAAGTGAAAAGAGAATTATTTGGCTCATATAGCAGGTAAGTTCAGGGAGTAAAAATAATTTCAAGTGTTCAACTACTTACTAGTTAGCAAGATCCTCCGAGCTTTTACCTTATCTGCTTTGGCATCATTCTTAGGTTCTTTCTAAATGGTGGTTCCAAAACAGTCAACACCTCCCTGTCTCAGGTTCAGGCTCAGAAGAAACAAACAAATAAGAAACTATTTCTGATTGTTCTAACATAAATCTTTGGGTTTGTATCAGTTGGAAAATGTTGACCTACCTTGGGTAATATGCCCCTGCCTGAGCAAAGCTCTGGTGCAGAGGATTTGTCTGAGGAACAGAATGGCTAGACCTAATTCATTGGCCTATCTTCGGAGTTGGCCAGAGGTCAGTCCTAAATCAACCACTAGGGATTGGGCTTATGGACATTGAATGCAGACTGCCTGGATTTGTAAATCACAGCTCTGCCACTTAAGAGGAAATTGCATATTTATTTCTATCTAAGATGAGGCATTTCTCAAATGGAATAATAATAGCACCTACATCAAAGAGTTGGTATAAGAATTTCATGAATTAATAAACTTAAATTGCTTAGACCAGTGCCCGGCACATAGTAAGAGTTTACTGGATGTTAGTTACCAATTTAGCTATTACCATATGGACTGAGCATAGAGAAGGGATGATTCTCAAAGGAGATTCAGAGAACTGTTGCCAGAAGAGGGTATGAATGAATGCTTGAAAGGCAAAAACAACAAGCGTCCGTTACACTTCAATCCCAAGTTCTAACCAGTCCACCACAGGAGGTGAGCGGCTGGGAAGTTCTTGCCTAAAGACAGTTGGGAATCACCGCTGCCTCTTGGTGTCAGTCCTATTCCCCTGGGAGAAGTTTCAAAGCACAGCCATGCTCACCTGATCAATCCTCCAGCAAGGCTGATTGTCTTCTTGGCAATCGGTCCTTGTTCTCTAGGCTTCACCTTTGGGACAGTCTTAGAAAAATCCATGCTCTGGCAAGCCTGAGTGCATATTAAACCATTTCAAAATGTTGAAGAGGAAGTCTGCATGCTTAATGTGTAATTTAGCTGAAAGAACTGGAACAACTTGCATTTTGGTATGGTCCTCATTTTGCAAATGAATGTTATTTTCATAATGGATCATAATGGCTCCCTCAGAGTTATTCTGGTCTGTCATATTAATGTGGGTTATGGTGCTTTAATAAGAGTTGACTTTTGACTCCTTGGGCTGTGCATCATGGTTGCTTGGCTGCTCATATGCCAAATCATCAGTCATTATTCTTCTTGTGAATTGATATTTATTCCTTATTTCATTACTTCCATGGGATGAGCAAGAACATGAATAATACATCAGCAAGCCCCAAGCTACGTCAATGACTTGAAGTGACAAAGGACTAGTTTTTAAGTCCTTCCAAAATTCTGGTTGAAGAAGTATAGTGTCTGTATTGTTTAATTTCATCTGAGGTTTTCATTTCTCCATCGTTCTTCTTGTCTTTCTCAAGATGGACTCTAGAGATGGTCCAGATGTCTAAGTTTACCTAGTTCAATCAGTTTCAAGATGGAGATGCTCACACCAGAAAATAACTGGGTAAGAAGGATATTCGCAGACAAGAATTCCTGGAGAGCACTTCTGGCAGGGAAGTGGTTTTGAGCTAGATTTCTGGAAAGAAAACATAAACCTTTTAAAAAGAATTCTTAAAGGAGTGCTAGAAAATCTGCAGCCTCCTCTGTACTGAGAATTTAATACCACTGTGTGGGGATATCTGGGTGGAGGCTGTAACAGTCTAGTACAGTACACCTTTTCCTCTGCCCTGCACACAAGAAGATTCGGACTTCCTTTGGTCTCTTCAAGTGGAATCCTTTGTGTTTGAGACTCATTGCTAGAGGAAAACCATTAGCTCTTCTCTCTCCCCCAGTACCCAGTCTTTCGTCTCATTCTCCAGTGAGTCATGCTCCCTCAAGTCCCAATCTAAACCTCTTCATCTCCTGCCTGTCTTACTGCCTCCTCCCTCAGCCTTATCCTCCCATAGGGCAACCACTTATTTTACATATTATAGGCAGACTCAATATCTGATATTACATAGTTTTGTTACACGATGTGTCAAGCTCTATATCTATTCTTTATTTGGGATATATGGTCACACAATTGTCTTTCATCAACCCCATTACTGAACAGTCCTCAACTGCTACTCTGTGGGACTGTAGACTCTATGGTCCGTAGAGTCAGAGTGACTTGGGTTTCTATCTCATTTTGACAAACTCATTAGCAGCGCAATTTAGGGTGTGTTGCATCTTCTCCTTGATCCTCAGTATCCTCATCTGTAAAATGGGCATGATCATATATACTCCAGGGAGATTTAGATGAACATTAAATGAAATCATATGAGTGACACAGTAGATTCAAAATAAGTGATTACTGTTGCTACTTTTGATATCATTCAGGAAGACAGGAGGTAGATTTCACTTGTCTGTGAAGGACACTGGTGCTTATTCTTCTCCTTCTTTCAGCTCCTTTAGACACTTCCCAGTCTCATTCTTTTCCTGCCTCCTTCCTAGGTTTCTATCTCCTCCATCTTTTTCAGTACCACCCACAACTTTGAGAAGATAGGAAAGGATAGAGTTGTTTATTTTGAGACTAAATTCAACGCTGACCCTCAGAAAAAACAACCCCTGCAATACGCTCTATTACCACATAAGCGTCACATTTAAACAAAGCCTTTTGGCCTGAACTGAAAATTATCATCCCACTGGGAGGCATAAACTGGAGGGCTGCTTGTGTGAAGGAGGGACGTGCAACAGCTGGGCAACACTATGTCCAAGGGAAGGAGAAGTAGTGCTCCTTGCTTTATGCGCTGATTTCATTTGGAAAATCATGCTCTCCTTTCCCCCTTCACAGACATGGAAAACAATAGCAATCTGTTAAATGTTGGAGGGCAGGAAAGCAACAACTACTATACACTGAAATCAAGAAGAGCTCCATTCAGTACCAGCTAGAGAATTCTGTCGGGACTGCAGAAAGGTCAGATGATATGGTTTAAAATGGTCTGTGGATATGACTTTGCACTAAAAGCCGTAAGGAAACAAAGTAGTAGAGTAGGGGAATTTCCTTTTGTCCAGGTAATAATAATGTTACTATTGGTTAAAGCAGACATTGATTGAGCACTTTTTATGTACCTTGCTAAACTAGGCGAGGCTTTACATATATGAACTCATTTAATCCTCACAACCACCCTAGGAGGGAGGTAGTATTTTGAATCTTCATCTTTACAGATGAGAAAACTGAGACACAGAGAGGTAATTTACTCAAAGTCACACAGTTGGTCATTTCAGCACCACCATTCTCACTCTAGAATCCATGTTCTTAATCCCCTCTTTATATTGCCTCATTCTGTGTGAGATACAAGTGACCTTTCAAAAACATATGTGCATCCATAGAGGTGTAGACAAGAAGGCTCAATAAATAAGTGAAAATTCATAGACCTCTCTCATGGATGTGACACTGTGCTACATTGGGTGAATTATAGTTATTCCCATGCTTGTCCTGTCACCCCCTTAGAGATGGTAGAATCTCTGAGGATATTTCCATTTTAGTGTCCCCTGCAGCCCAGGGCACTGCACTTGAGGCATAGAAGGGGTTCAATAAATACTTGTCAAGTTGAGAACAGGTAGATGCTGAGTAGGGTGATGCTGACTGTAATATGAATTTGATATTTCAGAGAAGATGAAGATCAGTGAGGGACAAACAGACTGAAGAAAGAAATGGGGAAAACTTGGCAAGTGAGATCTTTGGGAAAATTCAGATAGAATGTTGAAGGGAGAGTAGTCAGGGTAAAGAAAGCACATGGGAAAAGGACAGAAGTGGGAAGAAGGATGACGCGGTAAATGCTCACAGGGAGATGTGGTTAAGCAGAATGAGAGCTTGAACTTGGCACAGCTGGCCAATGGCGGGGCTGGAGGGGGCTCTCTCACTGTGGTGGGGTGTGAAGAAGGCAGTGTTTAAGGACCCTGGGTGTCAGTATGGCCCAGTGGTTAAGTGCATGAAATCTCATAGTCAAATCTCAACTCAGTCATTTAGGATTTGTGACTTGAGCAAGCCATATATACTTGCCAGGGTACCAAGAAGATTAGATGTGATAATGTGTGGACTGTGCCTAACACTGTCCCATAGGAAGTGATGTCAACCTCTATTAGCAGAGGCCATGAGGTAGAGGAGGAACTGGAGAAGAGAGAGACTGAGCAAGGAGTGAGGCCATGGCAACTGCAAAAACAACAAGAAGTTCTGATATTTGTTGGGCTTTACATTCAGGTTCTTCATTACATCATAACCTAGCGAGTTAAGGGGTTGTCTTATAATTGTGTGTGATTTGGGTTCACATGCATTCTCTCTAGCTTCTAGGATACACTTTCTCCTATCATGTTTTGCCACTGTGGTTCGGGATATGAAGTTTGAGGGAATTTTACCAGTGGAAGCCCTTTGGCTTCAGGGACATCAGGTACATTCCCTATCTGGAGGCTTTGAACTCTCTGTGCCTCTTGAGAAATTCACAAACCTTTTACCCTTCCCTACAGAGAATTTACCAAGGCCGCTTGCCCCTTTCCTGCTGTAGAATCGCCATCTTCTCTGTATTCTTGTTAAATAAGTGGCTTTGTGTCAACCTTACTGTAGTTGGTTAACTTTCTGTAGTTTGTTTTATGTTTTGTTGTCATTTCCAAATAAATTATTACATTGATTTTTTTTAAACTTCTAAGACTAGAAGATAAGTTTTATGACGGTAGGGATTTTTTTCTTTTTGCACATTTGTATCATCTTCCCCTGGCACATATTAGGGGGCTCCATAAATATTGGCTGAATAAATCAATATGCGTCCTCAAACACCACTTATTTCCTTGGGAACTTCATGTGTCTTTGGCACATGTCCAGAAAATGGTGGCTGGTATGGGTGGACTTCAAAAAGTCTGTAGAAAAAAAAAGAATTCAAGCATGCATTCATTTTGGTACAAAGATTTCTGAAATCCATGCATAGTTTTTATAATATCTATTTTCCATACATTTAAAATACAGATTTTTAAAAGCATATTTTATTTATTTCTTCCTTAAGGAAGAGGGGCAGAGAAAGAGAGAGAGAAAGAGAATCAGTACCCTAACAGGGTATGGGGGTCATGATCCACCCCCAGTCTTCAGCCAGGCCTGAATCCTGGGTAAACATGTGCTCAGGGTAGTCAGGTAGATCTCTGGACTTGAACCAGGAACCTACTCAAGTGGGACTGTCTCACAGAGTGTCATGGTGCCACCAACTGCCCGCATTTCCACGAATTTTTAAGGCCTCTCATATTATTATTATGGCAATGAACTTACTCATTTCCCAACTCTGATTCCTGCAACCCTAGTTCAACATTCTTTACATTCTTTGCAGTCAGTGTTCTGGGGTCTTTAGGATCTTTTTGATCTTCTTTTTATTTTTATAGAGATTTTTGCTATAGGACATGTGTGTTTGCCAGACAGACATAGACAGAGAGACAGAGAAATCACCACCCACCCCAGGCGGGATGGCCATGTTACAATCCCTTCTCCATTCTCTTCTCAGATTTTTAGGCATGTATGCACATGTACCTGTCTTGAGTTTTAAGTTGCTGGGTCTGGGACTCGAACTACGGTAGACTACATGGGAGTCCAGCGACGTAACCATTATGCCATCTGCTGGTCCTTTTTCTATCATCTTTCTGAGTTTTGTAGGGGCACTGCACTGGGTGAGTGTTTAGCCAATGCTGTTGGTGTAGTGTAAGTGTGTGTGTGTGTGTGTGTGTGTGTGTGCAGGTGTGTGTGTATGCAGGTGGATATGGGTGTGGTTTCCATACCAGCCTGCCTTCCACGTTGATGGAGGATGTTTGCTGAAGTTAGTCAGAGTGGCTGGGACTCAGTACTCTTGGGTTCTCTTCCTATGATTCATGGGCATTTTGGGGAAGTCTGTGAAGCCCTTCAATTGTGGTGAAAGCTGGTATTTAAAAAAAGAAGATGAATTTGTTCCTCGTTTCTTTTTGTACATTTTCCACTAGCACACAGGCTCCTCCAGGAAATTTTGGATTTATAATCATCTTTAGAGCAAGTTATTTTATTAGTAGTAGTTATTTTTATTTTTACTTTTTTTTTTTTGCAGAAGCTCCTAATTAGGGATTGCTTGCACATCTTTGATGCTTGCTTACTCTGTCCCTACTGTGTGCCAGGTACTGGCTGACACTAAGAGATGAGACACATCTTTGTCCTTGAGAAACTCCTGGGGTAAGGATACTGACAAGAGTCCGGTACAGAGGCACAAAAGAGAGGATGAGGGTCAGGGGTTCAGGAACAACTTCCAGAGGCAGCAGAACTCTGAGTGAGAGTTTACAAGGTGCCAGGAATTATGCTAAGCATGCTTCAGACATTATCTCATTCTATGAAGTAAGTGCTATTATCCCTGTTTTTGTGTGACCTCGGATGAATTACTTCACCTCTTTGTCTCAGTTTCCTCATCTGTAAAATGGGGTCTGTAAGACTTTGGAGACTTATGGTGAGGATTATATGTTTAAAGATGTGTGCAAGGGTACCTGGCACCGTGCTAATTTGAAGTTACTAGAAAGTTCCTACATGTTACCCGGTTATTATGGTAAGGCACGCAGAAAGTG